CCTCAAAGGCACTGTCCCCGATGTGGGTCACTGAGTCCGGGATGGTCAAGGTTGCCAAGGATCTGCAACCAGCAAAGGCACTGTTCCCAATGTGGGTCACAGAGTCCGGGATCGTCAAGCTCGCCAAAGAGCTGCAATGAGCAAAGGCATAATTGCCAATGTAGGTCACGGAGTCTGGGATGGTCAATTTTGCCAAGGAGCTGCAACGATAAAAGGCACTCTGCTCAATGTGGGTCACTGAGTTTGGGATGATCACCTTGGCCAATGTGTCGCAACCGTCAAAAGCGCTTTCACAAATCTGTGTTTCAGTGTCTGGAATTTCGACCACAAGCAGCAGTTCGGGGTCAACAATGCCGCCAAGACGGGCGATCGCTTTTTTGTTGGAGCATATCACGACATTTTGTTTGAAGACCACACTCACAACAGGATCTTCAGCAATTCCAGCTTCCAATACCTTTGCATCATTGGCCAGCAATCGGTTGCCTCCGACAATGATCTCTATAACTGTAGTGCTGCGAGTGAGCTCGTCCCAAGTCTTGCTTTCCTTGATCTGGCGCTTGAGTGCCCGGCCTGTCGTCTTTGGCGTGACTTCAAGAACTATGACGTCACCATTCGGCTGTCGCGCTGAAACCTTTTTGCCACTTGGCACCCATGGCTCAGACTATATGCATTTGGCTTAGTTTACCTGATTGCTTGTTGGCTAGCGGCTAGCCTGGAACAACAGTCCATGATCACGCACACATGTTTTGGTTTCTTCTCTGGACAGGTGATTCCGACACCAGTCAGATGCGCTGCGAGCAAAGCTCAGAGTGCTGCGAGATGTGGAGCTCTGGATCCCTGGATCTCTGGAAGTCCAGTGATCCTCAACACCTTCGCACCCGGAACCAGTCCCAGAAACCGTTCGAAACCGCTCAGACCACAGTCCGCTGTGCATGTCTTGTCCGGTCCGGAAGAGGTACCCAAACGGATGCATGAGGTCTTCGGGACGCAGTGCGCTATCCAAACGGGATCCAAGTACCAAGAGAGGTTTTTCACAGCCCGTCCTGAAAAAGCCCATCCGTACCAGAGACTACAGGGTCTGAAAGGGGTCTTAGTTCAGGTCTCCCAACCTCTCTTGCTACCTATCCGGATCTGCTTCGGAATGTTGGGGATCCGCAATTCAGATGGTGTGAAGTTACACGAACCGGTTTTCAGTGCTCAAGACTTCAAACATGCAAGACCATGCTGGTCTAATAGCTTCCCCAGCTGGGGTCTAGATCTCGACTTATACATCTTATACCCAAGTTGCATGTTTCTTTTTGATTCAACATGTCGAAACCGCCATGTTGCATGTTGGGTGTGACACTCTCATCCAAAATGGGTATTTAAGGACAAGTAAGAGTATGAGAACATATTGGAGATTCCTTGGATCAACGTTCGTTGCGTGGGCTGTTCTCCCCCAACGGACGGATCCACGCTGCTCCGACGGATGATTCGAGACATGCTGGGCGGCCAGGCAGTAGAGGCCACCGAACTTCAAAAGACCGGAGCAAAGCTCCTTGGCCTTGATATGCCTGGACTTGGGACAGGGAACTGGGGGCAGGGAACTGGCAGGTCATGCTTGGCCTTTTTCTTGGTTCGGTCATCCTCTTGGGGGGAAGGCATGCCAGCGCATGCCGGCGCTCGGGCAGCAAAGACGCGCGGTGTGGACTGGGGGGAAGGTAAGCGCGGCATGAAACAGGGCGAGACGCGCCAGCGGAGCCGCGGCAGCTGGAAGATCTGGACAATCCATTCCCTAGGACTCCAAAGACATCCTCAGAAGGTATTTGGACCCTCCAAACCCACTCCAAACACTTTCTGAGAAGCGTGAGAAGGTACGACTGGAGCCCTATGGATTTGCTGCCTTGCATTCAGATTTCACCGAACAGGACCAAGATCAGATCAACCAGTCCTAGACACGACCGGACTGCCATATTTCACCTAGACACGACCGGGTGGTTGGTTGAAAAGGGGTCGTACCAGGGGCCCGAAGCAAACCATGAAAAACTAAAGGTCTTCACATACCAAAACCATGGTGTTTTGCTAGGGAACAGTCGGTTTTGGATGGGCCATGTGGGGTGTTTTTTGGGGGCGGCATCTATGGACGTGGGCACCAGCAGTTGCAATGGCCCCTCTTCAGGGGGACGAGCTGCCCAACACCCAGGCCCTCCGAGGGACGAGCTCCACGTCGACTCCTATACTTCACCTGGTCCTGTATAGATCGTACTATAGTATAGTGCTTTTTGTAGGACCACGGAGCACATCCAGTTATTTCTCTCAAAAAGAAGGTCCAGCCCCTGAAGGTGAAGATTCGAGATGTCCATTCACCACCCCTGGGGTTTGGGGTGTCTGAATAGCTTTCTTAAAGAAGGTGAAGTTGAGGCCGACCAGGAGTCCAAGACTATGTTAATCATCAAGTTCGAGAAAGGAATTTCAATATGACTCATCTTTGAACTTCTTTGGGTTTATATATAGTTATAATGGATGTTTAGGGAGTTGGGAGTCTGAGAATCAAACGAATATATGAAAGAATGATCTATTTGGCCACTTGAGTCTTCACCATAGGACAGAAACGTGAATCATTCATCCATCCAGCATGATCTTGTTTCTTGCAAGCAACATTGCAGCAACTAATTCACGTACACACCTGCTGAAGTCCAAGACACCTGCTGTTTCGGTCCTGGTATGAGTCATACCCAGACACTCCATGTATGCCATATATGCCTACATTTGGGTGGGTTTGGGGGTCAATGTAGGCATATATGGCATACATGGAGTGTCTGGGATATAGGCTCCAGATGCCTCGCCCTCGCGACCTGCCCGCGACGGCTCCGCGGCTCGACCCACGCTCCGTCCGCTGCGGGGCCTCTCGGAGCGCATCTCAAAGGCCGTCTTCAGCTGCGGCTCCGCCTGGCCCACAGCGAGGGATTGACCGGTTTGGGCGATTTGGTTGGGGGGGGGGGGACAGTGTGATCTTGCTCCTTCGGCGTTTGGGGGGTGTTTTCTCTGGGCGAGTGGAGCTTGCGATCGATCCATGACGTGGCAAGAGAAGGTCGACCTCCACCGGTGGCTGAACGCACAGCCACCGCCCAGCATCGAAGCAGGCTGCCGCAGGCGTGCGTTCGTTGGGTGGCCCTCCAACAAGCTGAACGCATGGTTGTCTCCAAAAACTCTCACGCGCAGCTTGTTTGGACCCAAAAAAAGCCAAGACCCAAATAGACCCCGCAGTTCCAGCGAACGGTTGGGTGCTGCTCAACCCCGCGAACGGAAGGAGTTGGGTGCTCTCCCCTGTCAGAACTGAAGAAACAAAGCGCGGCTTGGGGTCAGTTGGGAAGACTCCTCCAGTATCAATGACCACCCCAGAACAAAAGCCTAGCCGGTGAGTTCACCATCACCTGCCTGCACTTACTCTGAGGTAGGATGCAAAATTGGATGCCTTTTCATCAAGAAAACTAGCCAGAAGCTAGGCAAACACTCCCTAGGGATCCAAGTACCTTCTCAGAAGGTGATTGGAGACACTGCTATGTAGGTGCCATTGTCGGGTCCAGTCGTACCTTCTGAGGTTCGGTACGACTGGATCATAGGGACTTTGGAAGATCCCAGGAACATCTACTCGGCTTCCCAGTACGACCATGGACCCTTTCCCCAACCAAATCATGCACAACTGGCCAACGGCTGGAAGCGGGAACATGGAAAATAGAAATCCTTGACTGGACCATGACTGGACACCTCACGCGGTGATGTGTGTTGTTTACCACCAAATGGGATCCAGTTGCACCATATTAGGTCTTAGGATCCTCCAAACCTGGAGAAAAGGAGAAAAGTGTGGAACACATCACCAATATACCTCAGAAGGGATCCGAAGGGAATCTCTATAGGCCAATGCACGCGACAACCGTACAGCGGACTCCGCCCAGTGACACGGTTCCTCACGAAGATCCGCGTCGGCTCCGAAGGGATGGCACCTCGCACGCATCGAAGATCCGTTGCATGCGCGCCAATTCCTCCGTGGCACACGTCGCGCGTGGAGGTCGCTGGGCTGGTGAAGAAATCCGTGGAAGTCCACGGTGGGGCGGAAGTGACCAACGGTGGAGGTTACGGATGTGCTCCGGTTGCTTCGCAGCGGACGGACCCGCACGGTTCCCCCAATTCTCTGATGTTTGGTCGCTGACGAGACGACCCAAAGTGGCAGGTGGTGACCGGAGTGCTGCTAGAGGCCGGCCGCTCTACCCAGACACGACCGATGGGACTGCCAGTCCGGACTGCCGAGAAACGGCCAGGGGTGGTGCTGCAAGAGTCAATGTAGGCACATATGGCAGTCCCATCGGTCGTGTCTGGGATAGGAAGACATGAGGGCAATGAGGGGGAAAACCTGTACAGGCCAGCGTGCTCCTCTGGGAGCATCACCATGTTGGTGTACAGCTTGGTGTTCCAACATTTTGTTGGACATGTGTTGGCGCTACGGCGCTGGCCAGCTGCCTCCAGCCACCACTCTTCGTGGCCCAGGCTGTGGCAGAGTAAGTTTACACACACACACAAACTGGTCGCTGAACATTTTTGGTGCTCTCTCGAAGGCACAGTCCGAAGCCGCCCTTCTCCAAACGCTCGGCGCCACATGGCCGTGCTCGGCGCCACATGCGCCGGCGGCGCGCGCCGCTCGGCGCCATTTGAGAGATCTTCTCACCCCACCGAACAGGGCTTTCTGACACCCAAACACTTCACAAAAAAGTTCACCATGGATCCCCTGAAATCAACCACTCCTGGCCTGATCCGGTATACCTGGATTTGTCCAACTACCCAAACGCTCCAAACAGGCCTTGGTCCCTCAAAACCATAGGGTTTTGAGGGTTCAGACCCCTCCAGAGGATTCGGGTCCGACCCCTGCATAGGTTCGGGTCCAGGGTCGCGTCTGGCTAGACCAACTTGTGCCTATGTTCATCCAAAACGAAAAGCCCAATTCGGCCGAACTGTGGCAGTTCTTTTCACGACGACCGTCACTCCGATGTCGACGTCCCGAACCAAAGCACCGTTGCGCGCCGCACCGCACGAGCCGCGCGCACACCGCACCGAACACCCAGATCCCCCGCGGTCTCGACCCCGCGCGCTCGTGCGCGGGCGCGCCGCGCGCCAGCGCCGGTGTCCCGGAGGGTTCGTGTTCCGGCTCCTTCTTGGTGAAGCCCTCCACGGCTCGATAGGCGGCCAAAAACCGGAGCAGCTCCTCTCGACGCTTCGGGCTTCGGTGTTCGTTTCGCGGGGTCGCCGCTGTGTCGCCAGGTCGTTCGGTGTTCGATCCCGGTGCGTTTGAGGTACCGAGTCGAGTGGAGTCAGGGGAACCCCAGGAAAGTAGACCAGTCAACCTCCCGGAGGCGAAGCTGCTACCCACAGCAACTGCGGTGCCATGTCATGTTCCGTCCAAACAACACCCTGCCCAGACGCTCATGGACCCTCCTAAGTAGGGGTCCGGACCCTCAAATCCCTAGGGTTTTGAGGGACCAGTCGAGCTGTTTGGAGCGTCTGGGTGGTTGGTTTAGAGTCCAAAGCTACCCGGACCGCGAGTGAAGGGGTTGGGTCACTGAGGCCTTTGGGTGAGACATGGTCAGACCATCCAAGCTCTCTAAAGGTACGACGGACTGGAAGATTGGGAATATAGCTTAAATGAATTGGACCATATATCCCATATTATACACTATACACTCCATTGCGATATGCCTACATTGGCCCCCCTGGCACCACCCCTGGCCTGATCGGCATATATGGCAGTCCCATGGAGTGCATGAGTATAATACTATATACCAGCACCCCCAGTCGGGGTGGTTAATGGACTCCCCTGAACATCTAAGGGGCTATAAATAGACACCCCGACAGGAGGGTCCTGGTACAGACCCATATTTCTACAAGACTTGTGGACCTTTCTGGACTTCCACTGGCATCAACCTAACTTTGGAACATGAACGCCCCGGTCCATGCGAGGATTTCCTCCACGCCACGGTCGACCGGTTCACCTTCATCGGCCGTGTGTTTTCGCGAAAGCGAACGTCGGCGCCACAGTGGAGGTGTCGGTGCCCTCGGTAGCCCGGTAGCCCGGAGGTCACAGCAGGTGATTTCCGTGGCTTTCTGCGAAAAGAAAGAGCACGGGCCCTGGAGCCATGTTCCGACGAAAGAGCGGCCATGTTTGCCAAAGGAACGGCTGGAAATGGATGATGACCCGGACCCGAGAAAAAGGGCAGGTCATTTTTATGTTCACCTGGAACCCCAGTCCCAACCAGAAACCAATGGTTGGAACCCAATATGGCGCCAGCTTGAAATCCTTTACAATAGCAAGTGGTTGGGACTGGGTTTCGTTCCATCCATTTCTTTCTGCTTGGGACTGGGGTTCCAAGCAATCTCCAACATGGTCGACCGGTCGACTGTTTGGGGGGGGCTCTGTCAGGCTGTCTGTGTCTCCGTGACCACCGTGTCTCCGCGGTCTGCGCTGTTTTTTCGCGCCTTCGAAAGCGATGCCGAGCGATGCCGCCAGCACTGGAGACCGGCACAGGGAGCCAGAAACCAACGGAAGTCGAAGCACTTATGACAGCAACATTCTGTGGCGACGATTCTCTTGCACCCACGTAGTTTGTACATCTCAAAGAACCTGATCTCCAAAACAAACACTCTCACCACCAGAGACTTGCAACCGTCAAAGGCATTGTCCCCAATGTGGGTCACAGAGTTCGGAATGGTCAAGCTCGCCAAGGAGCTGCAACCAGAAAAGGCCTCACCTCCGATGTGGGTCACTGAGTTCGGGATGGTCAAGCTCACCAGGGCACTGCAACCTTGAAAGGCAGCACTCCCAATGTGGGTCACGGAGTTCGGGAAAAGTAAGTTTGTCAAGGATTTGCAATTCGCAAAGGCACGATCCCCAATGTGGGTCACGGAATTTGGGATGGTCAAGCTTGCCAAAGAGCTGCAACTAGTAAAGGCAAACCTCTCAATGCGTGTCACTGAGTCCGGGATGGTCAAGCTCTGCAAAGAGGTGCAACCTGCAAAGGCACGATTCCCAATGTGGGTCACTGAGTCTGGGATGGTCAAGCTCACCAAAGAGCTGCAACCAACAAAGGCATTGTCCCCAATGTGGTTCACTGAGTCTGGGATGGTCAAGCTCTGCAAAAAGCTGCAATATGCAAAGGCAAAGTCCCTAATGAGGGTCACTGAGTTTGGGATGGTCACGCTCACCAAAGAGCTACAACCTGCAAAGGCAAACTCCCCAAAGTGGGTCACTGAGTTCGGCATGGTCAAATTTGCCAAAGAATTGCAATTACGAAAGGCCGCAATCCCAATGTAGGTCACTGAGTTCGGGATGGTCAAGTTCACTAAAGAGCTGCAACCGAAAAAGGCACCAATCCCCATGTGGGTTACTGAGTCCGGGATGGTCACGTCGACCAAAGAGCTGCAACACTTAAAGGCACGATCCCCAATGTGGGTCGCAGAGTCTGGAATCGTCAATTTGGCCAATGTTTCGCAACCGTCAAAAGCGCTTTCATGAACTTGAGTTTGATCACTTGGAAATTCGACCACAAGCAACAATTCGAAGTCAACGATGCCCCCAAGACTGATTGCATCTTTGTTGGAGCACATGACTGTGTTTGTTTTGAAGACAACACTCACGACAGTATCTTCAGCAATTCCAGCTTCCAATACAGTTGCATCATTGCCAAGCAATTGGTCGTCTCCCACAATAATCTCCACACCTGTGGTGCTTCGAGTGAGCTCATCCCAAGACTTTTGATCCTTGATCTGCTGCTTGAGTGCTCGGCCTGTCGTCTCTGGCATGACTTCCAGAACCATGACCTCACCATTCGGCTGCAGCGCTGAAATTATCCTTGCCATTGCTTAAAGACTTTTTGACGGATTTGAGCTGATGCTTCCTCTAAATGTCAAGCCTGTCTTCTGCCTGCTTATTGTTGGCCATAGCATTTGGCACTTAAGCAAATTTGGCTTTGCGTGGCAATTGGGAAACCTGTTGCTCATGAAAGTATGTGAATCACTGTCATACGATTGCATGGACCTATTTGTCTCCACCGATACTCTCCACCGATTCGCCAAATCAGAGCCGCCCGAACCCGCCACGCCACCGCTCCGAGCTGCGTCGCAACATCCGTCGCCGGATCGATTGGGTGCACCAGAGCGACCCGCCGAGGAGACAAAGCAAACCACCCCAAACTCGACCCCTGAACTGCTCTGGAAGGTGAAGAAAAACATGAAAAAGCAATTCTTCATTTCGAGCTGAACAAAAAAACGCTCCAAACCACCCAACCAGCCCCGAACCAAACCGGTCCGGTCTTTGGTGTTCGACACTGGGTATGGCAGATGATCCCACACACGGCGGGCGCCCATGGGTACCACGGTCATCCGATGTCATCCGGGGAGTCCTGGACGTCTCGCCGACTAAACTACCAGGTCAGTCTACACTCTACCAGGTCTCCTACTCCACCTGGACAGGAAGTGCGAAGTTCAACATGGTATCCCTCAAAGTCCAGTCGACTAAAAAGAATGGTCTGACGATGACGATGAGTTCGGTGACCCGAGGAACTGGGAAGTTCAACTTTCAGGTCGGTCCAAAGATCGTCGGTTCCTAGACTTCCAAAAGGGAAGTCTTGGAGTTCAGTCTGGCCACGGAATCCCTAAAGGGATCCATGGTACTAGGGATGGTCTACTTCGATCCATTCTACCTGCCACCCTCCATCCGATCGGACGTCAAAAAGCCGCGTGAACGCGTGAGCTCGCCGCATCGCGTGCTTTTGGTGCGTGAAGCATCAGCGAAGGCCGTGCCCTCTTCGATCCAAGAAAACACATGAAAACAGGCACATCGCGTGTGAAATATAACCTAGGCATCCGTGCAAACTGGAGATGATATACTTTCGTTGTGCTCCCTGTTTCGTCCAGAAAGGCGACCTCGATGGAGGTTTGATCGTGAAGGGGAGGAGACGCTAAGCCTATAGGCTAGCGGTCTCTCACTGCCAGGATTGTTGGGCAGGTCCTTTTAAAGAGGTCTAACCATTGGTGACCTGGCAGGTTTCGGGTCCAGGTATCGCGAAGAACCATGAAAGGGGGATCTTCTAGACTTCCGTTCGAACATTAAAAACATGGTTTTTCACTGGCTTTTGGAGTGTATAAGCCTATAATAAATTGAATACCAGCACCCTCCAACAGGTCACCAATTGAAACCTGTTAGGGCCTAACAACCCTCCAAAGGAGACCTGTTGGAGGGTGCTGGTAGTGGTTGGAAGTCTAGGGGATCCATATCATAGGGGCCCTGTAAGTCTGGTATCGAACGAAATTGCCTCGCCCCAGCTGCTCCCACACATTGCCGTGTTTTGGGTGACCAAAGCATGCCTAGCGATGGCGCCAGCCATGGAGACCAGCGCAGCCAGTTAGAAACCAACGAAAGTCGAAGCACTCATGGCAGCAACTTTCTGTGGCGACGATTCTCTTGCACCCACGTAGTTTGTACATCTCGAAGAACCTGATCTCCGAAACAGACACTCTCAACACCAAAGACTTGCAACCCACAAAGGCATGCTCTTCAATGTGGAGCACTGAATTCGGGATGGTCAAGTTTGTCAGGGAAGTGCAGTAGCCAAAAGCGCCCCCCCCCTAT